AATGTTTTCCTTCCTCAATTATATTATAAAGCACCAAGAGAGTGATCTAAGCGCTATGGGGGTGGTATACAAAACAATAACAATAAATAACAACACCCACCAGCCCAGAGAGACGGCACCGCTTGTCCTCTCTGAAAGAGGCAACCATTGCACACCAAACCCCTTCCTGCAAGGAGAGACACTGGGGATGATGGTGCCTTTTCAACTCAAGAAGAAGAAGAAGCCAAGAGAGGGTGCAAGAGGGGTGTGTGTGTGCGTGTGTAAAAGTTGCTGTGCTGTGGGGCTGAGGAGTGGGAAGGTTTGCACCAGAGGAGGGGAGAACCTGGGGCCACACACCAGGCAGGCAAGGCACCCACCCTCAGGCAAAATGGCCCCAGCAAGACATTTGAGGGGGCCCAGACTCAAAGGGAGGGGGCAGATGCTGCCATGGCAACAAGCTCTGCCATGGATCTGAAGGGGAGGAAATCTCCATGGCAACACATCATCCCAAGAAGGAAGGAGTCGATGTTGTCAAGGCAACGGGTGCTCAGGAAACAGGCCAGGCAAAGACTGGGCCCTCATGGCTGGGTTGGGGGGCGGCCCTGGGATAGGGAGTCCTGGAGGGCCCTGCTCTGCCCAGGGGCTGCTGAGGGAGCCGGTGGGGGGTGGGGTTGGGGGGGTGGGCAACCCAGAGCTTCTCAGCCAAAGGCTATCCCAGGCGGGCCACGGAGCCCTCACCCACATCGGGGGCAAAAGAGGCCACCGAGGCCCACCCAACGGGTCCAAGGCTAACTTGGAGGTACCCCCAGATGAATGAAAGGACCCTGCCTCTTGCCATGCGGGTCGCCTGGTACAGGATGCCACCCAGTGACCTGCTGCTGAGGTGCTGCACCCTGTGGGTGGCGCTCCGCTGCGTGGCCTGGTCTCCCTCCTCCTTGTGGCCCCTTCCCTTCAAGCGAGATGTGGGGCCGGGGCGCCCTTCGCGTGGAGGAGGTAGGGGGCTGCGAACCAGGTTCTAAGCAGGCGGCTGAGCAGCCGGGTCGGGTCGAGGGAGCCTGAAGAGAGGAGAGGCAGGGCCAGCCCTCCCCACATCTCTGCAGGGCCACCGTGTGGACAGTGGGGCGGGCTTCTCTTTGGTGGCTTCGAAGAGTGTGGCTCACAGCGAGGGGCACTGACTGCACGCAAGGGGATCTCAGCAAAGCCCTTCAGAAGAACCGCCTGGCAGAAAAAGTGGTTTGGCGGGGGAAAAGCAGACTGTCCTGGGAGATCTTTCAACAGGGGCCGGCCGGCCGGCAGGGACGCTTGAGCGATGTGTTTCTCCCACCTGCAGGGGCTTCTTGGGGGTCCTCCCCATTGGGGGCCACTCTCCTCCCCCAACTCTGTCCCCCCTCCTCTCACACAGACACACCATGAGCGCCCCTGCCTACCACCAACACCCCAGCAAGTTGCCAGGGAGGTGGAGGGCATGTCGCTTCCCGCACCCAAAAGGATACGTGAGTGATCACAAGCCAGACATTAGAACCAGCAAATATTCAGGGCGGAGGGAGCGAACCACGCCATCTCCCCTCGAATTCAGGCCTTGGATGAAAGAATGTCAAAGGCAGATTCCAAAGGGAAACAGCTCAACCGGAATAAGCCAAGGACATCCACTCTTCCTTCCTTGGTCTGGACAACAGCAAAGGCTTTTTATCTCCCTGACGGCATGTTTTAATCAATTCATCAGTACAGATTTGTCTGCACAAGCCTTTCTTGGCAACAGTCTGGACCATTTTCTCTTCTTATCCCTTCCACCGTCCTGCGCCAGCTGTGTGCATTTATAGCCACAGCCTCTTCTCTGGCACTTGGCCCAAACAAAAGCCTTTTGTCCCCAGCACAGGCCTTGCTGTTAATGGGCTTGCACACTGGGATGCCTGTGCTGTCCAGCGGTGGCCCCTCAGCTCCCAGGACTGACATCTCTATCTCTCACCCCGAGGATGGGTAGCAAGCCACCCTTAATGACCTGCAATAAGGTCCTCCGGACACAGCCTCTTCTGCCCTTCCACTACAGTGTCTTCTCTGAAGAGGACGGGTACAGCCCACAACCCTTCACATCAGATAAAGTGGCTAATTAGTCTTTAAGATTTATTTTCATCATTATTTGTTTAAAACATGTTTACCTTCTCTTTCTCTTTACACCAAGGTGGCTTATATTGTTAGGACAGTTTTTAGAACTAAAAGCAGTACATACTGTATACGAATACTAAAAAGGATCAACCAGTACCACACTAAGATATGATAAGATTAAAGCAATACCAAACCCACATTCAAAGCAGTAAAAATACAACCATCTATTTAAAAACTCCACCCAGGCAGCCAGTCACCGAGGGAAAGCTTGCCTGATGAGAAAGGGAGACAGCAATATAGCAAAGAGCGGTGCCACCTCTTTTGCATCCGGGCTAGACTGCTGCAACATGCTCTTTGTGGGGCTGTCTCTGCAAAAGAGTTGGAAGCTCCAGCGGGATCCACATTGTTTGGGGCTTGGCCAGTTAGAACTACCATAGCACTTTGAATTGTGCCCAGAAATGGATCAGCCGCCCATGTGATCCCTTTGACCAGCCCCAGTTAGGAATCTGGCTGTGGCGTTTTGGACCCGCTGGAGCTTCCAACTCTTTTCCAGAGGCAGCCCCACAGAGAGGATGTTAGAGCAGTCTAGCCAGGATGCAAAAGAGGTGGCACCACTCTTTGCTAAATTTGCTGCAACAGGTTCCATTGGCCACCCACGTGGAAGCTCCTTTCTGCAGAACCTCGAAAGGGGCCATGTGCCTGAAAGCGATTCCAACCCCAACAAAAAAGGAGATGATCAGACTGGAAAAGAGAGGAATGATGGGAAAAGTAGAAGGCAAAGAAGAAAGCTGAACATGTGGCGGATTGACTCAATCAAGGAAGCCATGTGGGGCCTGAGTTTGCAACATCTGAGCAGCACCGTTGAGGGCAGGACCTTCTAGAGATGATCGACCTACTCCGTTGGGCTGCCATAAATGGGAAGTGACCGGACAGCACATATCAGACACGGATGGCTGGACAGCTCAGTGGTCCTCACTGTGTTTCCTGCAAGTACAGCCAGCCTGTGTGGCCTTAGGCAAACTGCACAGTGCCAGGGCAGCCCCAGAGGAAGGGAAAGGCAAACCCAGGAAAGGGTCGCCATAAGTTGGAATTGATTATGGTCATAGAATCACAGGGAATCATGAAGTTGGAAAGAGCCTATAAGGCCATCAAGTCCAACCCAGATCAAAGTAGATCCGCCAGACAGCTGTCCAATTTTCTCTGGAATGCCTTTAACGCTGGAATGCTCACCATTCCAGTGACCTCACTTGAGGTCATGGGTTCTGTTGTCGTACTGCTCTAACAGAAGACGTTTTTCCTGGGATTCAGCCTAAATCTGGCTTCCTGTCACTTGAACCTATTATGGCATGTCTTGCACTCTGGGATGATTGAGAACAGCTCCTGCCCCTCCTCTGATCATATGCACAACGAATGAATGCCCCTCGGTCCACTGCCAGTGGTAGCTTTTGGCTCAAATTCGCTCCTCCAGAGAGTACTCCAGGCAGCTCAGGACTCCCTTTGTCCCTGGGGTGGGGTGAAGTGGCCATTCAGCTGCCCCTCCCCCCATCTTGTTTAAAGAGGAACATGGTGCCCCTTTCCCTCTTGGGCTCTCCCCCACACCCACACGTTCAAATAGCTTCATTCCAGGGCATCTCTGCATCGCTTTGTGTGTGTGTGTGTGTGTGTGCATACGGAACAGCCGGCCAGGAGGATCATCGCGGGAGCTGTGCAGATGCTTGTCCCACCAGGACCTCCCGGTCAGGACTCTCTTCCGTAGGCCTAGCCTGCCAGACGTGGCATTTGGGAAATGCTGCCAAGGATACATCATGGCGCTGCTTCCCTCTGTCAGGATGGGAAAGTTCTTCCAAGGGAGGAGAGGGAAGAACAAGCAGCAGGTCTGTAACCAGAATGGGGTGGCGGGAGCCCAGAGTGCCAAAACGTGTCTGTTTTAACACGTTGTCAAATCACTGCAGACTCATGGCAACCCTCATAGGGTGTGCAAGGAATGGGAGATGTTCAAGGCAGGGCTCACCGCTGCCACACGTGCACCCTCCCCCCATCCCCCAGTGTGTTCACATGGCTGAACAGGGATTTTGAACCCGGATCTCCCGAGTCCTTGTCTGACATCCCATCCATGATTGCTCATTGGGACAATGCTGGACTGACAGGGCCTTGGCCTGATTCAACCGGTTGGCTCTCCCCCACAAGGCAGGGGCAGAAAGCCCGGCATGTCAAGCTGCCACCCTTGCTCTGCTCCCCACATGGTGCCCACCAGGCTCCACCAGGTTCGTTCAGAGGCACCTGCGGTTGTGTGCACGCACATGCAGGCACAAAAACAGGAGGCCATGCCCTGAATGAGACCGGTCCTCCCTCCAGAGAGCAGCAGGACCTCAACAGGTGGAGTGGGAGGGATGAGCAGCACTGAACCCACCCCTAGTGGGGGCAGGCGGCCAGGTTTGATCCCGGCCAGCAGCTCTGATCCTGGGAGCCCATCGGAGGAGAGAGCCTGTTGGTGCCCCACTTGCTGGCCCCTGGCCACACAGGATCCCGGTTCACGACACATCCTGGGAGTGCACGTGCTCTCGCTCTCGCTCTCTCTCGCTCTCCTGCCCCCTTTCCTAAAGCCCATCCTGCCTTGTGCCCTCATGTGCCCTTAGTCCCTTCCAGTGCAGAAACGTGGCCCTGAGTTTGCCCCGTTTCCCCACTTGCCAGGGAGGCAAAGGAAGCAGGCTGTCCTCAGTCACCTGGGGGGGGGAATGGGGAGAGTGCTGCCCCTCCTGCCTGGCAGGGGTTCTCTTCCACAGCCCAAAGGGGTCAGTCAGCCAGCCAGCCAGCCAGCCCGCCCGCCCGCCTGCCTATCTTCTTGGCTGGCTGGATGGCAAGCTCCCCCGCGGGAGCGCCCGCCCCTCGCCCGCGGCGGCGCCTGCTCTGGCACTCACCACGGTGAAGTTCTGGGCGCTGCAGTTGGCCCCTCGGAAGGAGCACTGCCAGAGCATCTCCGCCAGGTCGTGGCCGGTCCGGTTGTAGAACTCGGCCATGTCAAAGGGCCGCGCCTTGAAGCCGCGGAAGTTGGCCTTCTCACGCAGGGCGGCGAGGGTCTCCGGGTCGGCCAGGTGGGCGCTGCTGATCTCGGCGCGGGCGTCCAGGAGGGCCAGCAGGTCGCCCACGTGGTAGAGGTCGTTGCGGGTGATCTTGGAGAAGCGGAACTCGTTCAGGTTGCAGATGGTGACCGCCGGGAAGGTCAGGTTGGGCACGGCCACCTCGTCCAGCTTGGTGACGTGCGGGTAGGTGAGGAAGTGGGCGACCCGCTCGGCGCAGACCAGCGCCAGCAGCGCCAGGGAGCCCAGGAAGCAGAGGGCCCAGAGCAGGCGCCGGAAGAAGGAGCGCGCCCGCCCGGCCGANCATGGCCGGCAGAGGCCCCTCGCAGCCCGGGGTGCCAGCCCTCCGTCCGGACTGCCCCCGCCTGGCCGTCCTCGGAGGGAGCCGTCGGTCAACAGCCCATGCCTCGGAGGGGGCGGCACGGCCTTTTTTCGCCCCTAGGGAAGGCGCCGGGTGTATAACGTGGCCGGTGGGCGAGAGAGGATGGTGGTGCCGGAGCTGCGGAGCAGTCAGTCAAACCCACCGGGAGGAGGAGCAGGCAAGAAGCCCTGCAGAGACGCAGAGGGAGACCGGGGAGGAGCGCACAGGGGCGAGCGCTGCGCTGGAACCGCTGCCGGGGCTGCTGCGCGCTCGGCTGCCTGGCGCCGGCTTCCGAGA